AGGGGAGGAGGAGGAGGAGGAGGAGGAGGAGGAGACAGCAGAGAGATATCAGAATATGCAAGAGATGCAGGGCACAGTAGAGAGATGGAAGCAGGGGAAAGTGAGGCTAAGAAAGAACAAATACTGACACTAAATGACACTCCCTATTTGCACACTGTCTGTTAGGTCTCCCTATGAGGCAAAGCCGTATTTTTTGCTTTGGTTTGATTTGGGGGCTTTTTTTTTTTTAAGACAGAGTCTTGCTCTGTCACCCAGGCTGGAGTGCAGTGGCGTGATCTTGGCTCACTGCAACCTCTGCCTCCCTTGTTCAATTGATTCTCCTGCCTCAGCCTCCCAAGTAGCTGGGACTACAGGCGCCCGCCATCACACCCGGCTAATTTTTTGTATTTTTAATAGAGACAGGATTTCACCGTGTTAGCCAGGATGGTCTCGATCTCCTGACTTCATGATCTGCCCACCTCAGTACCCCAAAGTGCTGGGATTACAGGCGTGAACCACTGCGCCTGGCCTGCTTGTTTCTTTTATAGGCAGGGTCTCCCTCTGGTGCCCAGGCTGGAGTGCAATCGCACAATTCAAGGCTCATTGCAACCTTGAACTTCTGGGTTCAACTGATCCTCCTGCTTCTGCTTCAGCCCACCAAGTAGCTGGAACTACAGTCACTGTGCCTGGCTAATTTTTTTTTTTTTTTTAATCTTTAGTAGAGACAGAGTCTTGCAGTGTTGCCTAGGCTGGTCTTGAACTCCTGGTCTAAAGCGATCCTCCCACCTCATCCTCCCAACGCACTGGGATTTACAGGCATGAGCCACCACACCTGGCCACAAAGCAGTATTATTATCACGTTTTTACAGATGAGCGAACTGAGGCTCAGAGAGGTGAAGTGAGTTGCCCAAGATCATACAGAAACAGGCAGAGCTGGGATCTAAATTCAGACTCCGAGGTTACAAACACTGCTCTTCTTCTTCTTCTTTCTTCCTCTTCCTCTTCTTCTTCCTTCTCTCTCTCTCTCTCTCTCTCTCTCGACAAGCTCTCACTCTGTCTCTCAGGCTGGGATGCAATGGCTTAATCACAGCTTACTGAAATTTCAACCTCCTAGGCTCAAGCAATCCTTCCACCTTGGACTCCTGAGTAGCTGGGACTACAGGCTGCACCACAACCACACCTGGCTAAATTACTTTTATGTTTATTTTTTGAGTTATTTTTTGAGACAGGGAGGGTCTTGCTCTGTCACCCAGGCCGGAGTGCAGTGGCTTGATCTCAGCTCACTGCAACCTCCACCTCCTGGGTTCAAGCAATTTTCGTGCCTCAGCCTCCCGAGCAGCTGGGATTACAGGTGCCCACCACCATACCCATCTCTCTGTGTGTGTGTGTGTGTATTTTTAGTAGAGACAGGGTTTCACCATGTTGGCCAGGCTGGTCTCGAACTCTTGGCCTCAGGTGATCCACCCGCCTCAGCTTCCCAAAGTACTGGGATTACAGGCATAAGCCACTGCATCCAGCCGATAATTTTTTTTTTTATTTTTTGTAGAGGAAGTCTCACTATGTTGCCCAGGCTGGTCTCGAACTCCTGGCCTCAAGTGATCCTCCAGCCTCAGCCTCCCGAAGTTCTGGACAACCCATGCACACCACCATGCCCTACTCAGACACTGCACTTCTAATCGCTACCTTTTAATTCACAAGTCAGAAACCCAGAAAGAAAGAGGAAGACACCATTAAATACAGAGAAAAGCAGAGAAACACAGACGCTAAGAAATGGGAGGCAGGGGGAATCGAGAGAGAGAGAATGGAAAGAAACAGAGAAATGACCAGAGAAAGACAGATGAGCAATGACAGTGGGAGTTCCGAGGACTGAGGCTCCTCTCCCTCAATCCCCACCCCCTCTTTTTTTTTTTTTTTTTTTTCTTTTTTTTTTTGACAGAGTCTTGCTCTGTTGCCCAGGCTGGAGTGCAGTGGCACGATCTTAGCTCACTGCAACCTCCACCTTCAGGGCTCAAGTGATTCTCGTGCCTCAGCCTCCCGAGTAGCTGGAATTACAGGCACGCACCACTGTGCCTGGCTAATTTTTGTATTTTTAGTAGAGACGGGGTTTCACCATGTTGGCCAGGCTTGTCTTGAACTACTGGCCTCAAGTGATCTGCCCATCTCAGCCTCCCAAAGTGCTGGGATTACATGCGTGAACCACTGCACTCGGCCCTCCCACCCTCTCACTGAAATTCTCCCCTTTGGGGTGGATAGCAACCTCAGGCATGTACCCTCCCAACCTGGGACCCAACCTAATACCCTAACATCCTGCTGGCAATGGCTGTTCTCGCTGGGCAGGCGTCCCAAAGCACATCGAGCCAGATTCAGGCAGAGTGGAACTGGCCCCTCAGCCATCAGTGGAGGTGGCCTGGGAGGCCCTACCCTGAACGGGGTCTCCCCAAGGCGATGCAGAAACTGGGACACGCTCTGCTGAGCATGGGGCTGGCTGGAGTGAGGCTTGTAGGTGGTCCCCACGTGGGGATTAAGATGTCAGCTCTTTAATCCCCATGCTGTTCCCATCACAGGCTGACCAGGGTCGGTCCCAGGGCCCAGCCAGGGACACAGAGGTGGGAGAAGAGAGGGAGAAATAGACTCAGAGGTCCTGAGAAAGACAGGCAGAGAGAGATGATGGAGAAAAACACGTGGAGACCCTGAAAAGAGATGGAGAGGAAGAGGAAGAGACAGATAACGCAGGGATGGCAGAGAGATCCTGGAAAACAGAGAGCGGGAGGAGAAAGAGAGCCACTGAGAAAAGGGGAAGACAGCGATGTCCAGAGAGAGGAAAGACAAAGATAAATAAAGAGAACAGAAATGAAGAGAGATAGAGAGACCTGAGAGAAAAAGAAAAAGAAAGAGAAAGAAATCCAGTCTAATTACAAAGAGATAGAAACGCCAAGGCAGGAGGATCACTTGAGCCCAGGAGTTTGAGACCAGCCTGGGCAACATAATGAGACCTGGTCTCCACAAATATTTTAAAAATTAGGTAGGCATGGTGGCACGCACCTCTAGTCCCAGCTACTTGGGAGGCTCAGGTGGGAGGATCACTTGAGCCCAGGCGGTCGAGGCTGCAGTGAGCTGTGATGGTGCCACTGCACTCCAGCCTGAGTAATAGAACAAGACAGACGGAAGGGGAGAGAAGAAGAAAGGGAAAAGAGGGGAGGGGAGGGAAGAAAGAGGCTGGGCACGGTGGCTCACACCTGTGATCCTAGCACTTTAGGAGGCTCAGGCAGGAGGACCTGCTTGAGACCGAGAGTTGAAGACCAACCTGGCCAACCTAACAAGACCCTGTCTCTATAAAAAAAACAGAAGTAGGGAGGAAGAAAAATTGGACATTCTTTCAACAAATATGTACTAAGCACCTACTGCTGTACTGAGCACTGTTTTAAGCGCTGGGATACAGAAGCGAACCAGACAAAATCCCTGCTCTAGAAGAGCTGACGTTGCGGAGGACAGCCCACCCGATCAAAACAGAGGAAGAGTCAGGAGCTGGGGAGAGAGCCAGAGGCCATGATAAAGAGGATCCATTAAAGCCTGTCACAGAGGGTGGGGTAGGGCTGGGGGAGGATGCGGCTTAACCGTGCCCCGCCACACCCCCACTGTCCGTGGAGTCAGCAGCTCTGAGCAGGGGCCCTGCCCCACAACCCCTGTCAGTCACCAGGTTCCAGAAAGGCTGACAGGTAGGAAGACCCACGACAGGGCAGGACAGAATATGGAGGTACAAGGGGGTCAACACGCAGAAAGGCACCCTGAAGAAATAAGGAGAGGCACAGAAGTGCCAGGATGAGATAAAGGGAAGCACAGACTGGGGGAGATACAGAGAGAGGAAGACACAGACATACTGAAAAGACAGACAGAAAACAGACACAAACAGAGGCAGAGACAGAAAGAGGAGAGAGCGATGAACACAGAAACACAGAGACTGAGAGTGAGGGAGGCTGGGTGCGCTGGTTCACGCCCATACTCCCAGCACTTTGGGAGACCAAGGCAGAAAGATTGCTTGAGCCCAGGAGTTGGAGACCAGCCCGGGCAACACAATGAGATCCTGTCTCCTCAAAAAATACAAAAAATTGGCCGGACGTGGTGGTGTGCACCTGTGGTCCCAGCTACTCAGGAGTCTGAGGTTGGGAGGCTTGTTTGATCCCAAGAGGTAGAGGCTACAGTGAGCCATGACTGTATCATGGACTCCAGCCTGGGGGACAGAAGCCAGACTCTGAGAGAGAAAGAAAAGAGGGAAGGGAAAGGGAGGGGAGGGGGGGAGGAGGGGAGGGGGGAGGGGGGGAGGGGGAGAGCAAGTGAGACTGAGATGAAACAGAGATACACAAGAGAGACCCTCCCAGAGACAATGCCAGTCCCAGGCTCTGCACAGTCCTCCCACCTCCCCAGGTCTGGGCCCTGTGCCAGGCACTCAGAGGAAGGCTGGATTTGGCCAAGCAGGGGCAGGCAGGAGGGTGGACCACATTCCTGAACAGTCTGTTCCAAATACAGCCCCAACCTCACCACTCCCACCACCCCAGCCCTGGCCCATCCAGGTCTGAGTCTGCCCCCTCTTGGGGAACAAGCGTAGCACACAGGGTCCCAAGAACAATGGAAGTGACAAGGGCTCAGGTGTGAGCTCCGAGGAATCACAGGCACAGAACGCAGGAGTGTCAGGGGTGGCTTTAGAAGTGTATTTGAGCCAGGCGCAGTGGCTCACGCTTGTAATCCCGACACTTCAGGAGACCGAGGCAGGCAGATCACCTGAGGTCAGGAGTTTGAGATCTGCCTGGCCAACATGGTGAAACTCCGTCTCTACTAAAAATACAAAAATTAGCCGGGCCTGGTGGTGCATGTCTGTAATCCCAAGTACTCGGGAGGCTGAGGCAGGAGAATCTTGAACCTGGGAGGTGGAGGTTGCAGTGAGTTAAGATCGCACAGCTGCACTCCAGCCTGGGCAATAAGAGTGAAACTCTAAGAAAAAAAAAAAAAAACAGAAGAAGAAGAAGTGTATTTGACAGTCAGTGTGTATTTAGGAATCAGAGGTCCAGGGTACAGCATTCAGGGGGCCCAGAGGTGGCCCGGAGATTGAGGAATACACACCTGCAGGCCGAGTAAATTGGACTCAAAGGTGCTAGGGGCTCAGGAGGCTGCACCTGCTGGCCAGGTGTGTTGACATGAAAATGCTGGTGCACGAAAGTTGCTAAGTAGGGCAGGCTGAGGCAGGCACACACAAAAAAAGCCAGGGGGAGCCAGGGCACAGTTCCACTAGGGCTGGGGGCCGGGGGGAAGCCAGGGCACAGTTCCACTAGGGCTGGAGGCAGGGTGGAGGCGTCTGGTTGGGGAATCCACGGAATGAGCAGCCCAGAGACGCCCACTCCTCCCATGTCGGGTCTCCGCCCCTGCTCCACCCAAGACCTTTTGGAAATCAAATAGAGGTCCAGGCGTGGAGAACTGCAGGCATGATGATCACGGGTATCGCAGCGCTGCTATTGTGGCTTCTGGTGCTGGCGCTGGCGCTGGCACGGTGGGGGTAGGGTGGGTGCCGAGCTCAGATGCGAGGGTCCCTACCTCCCCGGCCCAGGCCATTCCTATTGCTAGGGAACTTGCAGCTGCAGTCCGGAGGCACGGACCACGCGCTCCATTCCCTACAGGAATGGGGGAACGGAATTTTGGATCCGTGGAGGTGGGGCTGGGGACTAGAACTCCTCCTGAATGAAGACAGCTAAGGGCTTGTACTCTAAGACCCTGAGGAAGGACAGGAAGGATGAGTGCTCAGGACTCCTGAGTTCTAGGAAAGGAGACTAGGGAGTGGACAGCTTGGGGTCGGGACACTGGGTGGTAAGGAAGGAGCCCAGAGCAGGAAATCAGGTTGTGGGAAGAGGGGACCAGAGGGTCTGTTCCCCTGGTTCAAGGTGGGGAGGCTGAGTACTGAGGGCCCAAAAGCCCGACTCTGAGGGTGCAGGAGGCTGGGAAGTTGGACTTCTAGGTCCCAAGGGAAGAAGGAAGTGGGGGCCTGGACTCCTGGATCTCAGGGAGGAAGGAGCTGGGGATCTGAACTCCTGGGCCTGAAGAATGAGGGCCCGAGACGAGGACTCCTGAGTCTGAAGGAAGAGAGAGCTGGGGGCGAGGGCTCCGATGAGAAACCCGATGGGCACCAGCTGAGCACCGGCTCCCTGTAGCTCTCCGGCCGCTGGGGCCCGGTGTTCACAGCGCAGCTGGGCCCGCGCCCTGCCGTGGTGCTGTGCGGCTACGCAGCGCTGCGGGACGCGTTAGTGCTACAGGCGGATGCCTTCTCCGGCCGCGGGTCCATGGCAGTCTTCGAACGCTTCACACGCGGACACGGTGAGGCCCGGGCGCTGGCCGTGCCGGCCTGCACGCCTCAGGCTGGGCCCGTAAACGGTAGAGGCGGGCAAATGGGGGCGGGACCTAATAGAGACTCCAGCTAATGAGGTGCAAACGGCCGAGAGAGGGCGCGGCGGCGCTAAAGCGTAAGGTTCGAATCGAGGTTCATCCTGCAGCCAAGAGGAGAGAAGAGCCTAAGAGTCAAAGCCCGAGAGCCAGCCTAGGTCAGCAATCGAGCCCAGCAAACGCGGCGCCAATGTGTGGATAGGGCACTTAGAGGTCGGGTAAAGAAGCAAAGCGCAGGAAGTCGGCCGCAGGAGTCGGAGGCCCCGAAAGGGATGTAGCCAGTGACCTGGCGCTTCCTGGATGGGGCGTGGCCGACTCCCGGGCCCGCCTCCTTTCCTGTCCCCACCACAGGAATCTTCCTTTCTAACGGGCCGCGCTGGTGGACACTGCGCAATTTTGCAGTTGGAGCGCTGAAGGAGTTGGGGTTAGGTACACGGACCATCCAGGCGCATGTCCTGGAGGAGGCGGCTTGTCTGCTAGGCGAAATGCAAGCCACCATTGGTGCGGCCTGGCTGGGAGGGCAGAAGGGCCTGGTGTGGGAGTGGCCCTTGGACTGCCAAGATGGGGCCACGGGAAGGTATTTGGGTGGAAGGAAGCCAGTAAACCCATGGGGCTGGCTGGGGGCAGGACCACGCATTATGACCACCGTCCTGTTCCTACCCCCAGGAGCCCCGTTTGACCCCATGCGACTACTGGATAATGCTGTATCCAATGTTATCTGTTCTTGTCTTCGGGAACCGCTATGGCTACGGGGACCCGGAGTTCCTGAGGCTCCTGAACCTCTTCAGTGACAACTTCCGCATCATGAGCTCCAGATGGGGCGAGGTGAGAGGGCCGGCCACAGTCTCTCCCTTGTGCGTCCAGCCTTATGCCAAATCCGAGTACACAGACCTACCTACAGTGGATCATTAGAATGGGACAGTTAGATTCTTGGAAGAGTTCTAGAACCTCCAATATCAATGTCCTGGTCCAATCTCCCTGAAGGGAAACTAAGACCTAGTGGCCTCGTCCAGGGCCCTTGTTGAGATCCTCTCTCTCCAGATGTACATTTCCCCGTCCCTCATGGACTGGCTCCCAGGCCGGCACCGCCGAATCTTCCGAAACTTTCGGAGCTGTGGGTCTTCATCTCTGAGCAAATCCAACAACACTGGCAGATGCGGCAGCCGGCGGAGCCCCGCGATTTCATCAATTGCTTGACCAGATGGGTAAGGCGTGGTTCCCAGTTCCCTAAACTCTATCTTTGCCTCCCACCAACAGGTGCCTGGCACGCGGCAGCGCGTCTCCTCTGCCCACGGTAACAGCAGGACCCAGAGAGCCACTTCCAGGAGGAGACGTCAGTAATGATGACACACCTTTTTTTTGGTGGCACCGAAACGAGCACCACCCTGTGCTATGGACTCCTCGTTCTGCTTAAGTACCCAGAGGTGGCAGGTCTGCAAGCCGGAGACCCAGAATGGGAGGCTGCGGTCTGGGGATGGCTGGAGGGTCCTGGAAGTGCGCAGCTCACAGCCTACCCCGGCCCCAGCCAAGGTGCAGGAGCTGGACCCTGTAGTAGGGTGGAGGCGCGCCCCAAGCCCGGACGACCACCAGCGACTGCCCTACACCAACGCAGTGCTGCTCCAGATCCAGCGCTTCATCAGCGTGGTGCCGCTGGGGCTACCGCGCTCACCCTCAACACCTACTTGCACAGCCACTGTCTGCCCAAAGGTGCCCACTGAGTTTGGGAATCCTGTGCGGGGCCCGGGTGCATGAGGTGTATTCCGAGATCAGCCAGAATCGGTGGGTGTGCGCTGTGCAAACTGAAGCACAATCAGTTACTCCTGGAGCAGGATAGCAGGCCTGCCTTCCCTTCGGTTTTTGTTTTTTGATTTTATTTATTTTTTTTGAGACAGTCTCGCCTTATCGCTCAGGCTGGAGTGCAATGGCATGATCTCAACTCACTGCAACCTCCGCCTCCTGGGTTCAAGCAATTCTCCTGCTTCAGCCTCCTAAATACCTGGTATTACAGGCACCTGCCACCACACCTGGCTAATTTTTGTGTTTTTAGCAGAGACAGGTTTCGCTGTGTTGGCCAGGCTGGTCTCGAACTTCTTGACCTCGTGATCCATGCTCCTCGGCCTCCCAGAGTGCTGGGATTACAGGCATGAGCTACCTGCCCGGCCTATTCCCTTGGGCTTTTAAAAAGGGCCTTGGATGGAGGAGGTGCACATGCTCACCAAGCCCACAGGTAAACCTAGTTGCATGTACCCCCAGGGCACCTTTGTGATTCCCCTGCTTGTGACTGCACACTGACCCCACTCAATTCAAAGACCCAGAATGCTTCAACCCTACCAACTTCCTGGACAACGCTACCAACTTCCTGGACAAGGGCAAGTTCCAGGGCAATGACCCTTTCATGCCCTTTGCCTCAGGTGCGGGCAGGGGAGGAAGGCGACCAGCCTGGACCGGCTCTGGGGTGCATGGTGCTCACTATGCACCCGTGTACCCGGGAAAGCAGATGTGCCTGGGCGCAGGCCTGGCCCAGTTGGAGATCTTCCTATTCCTTACAGCCACCCTACCGAGGTTCCGCCTGCTCCCTGTGGTAAACCCTGGCACCATCAACGTCACCTGCAGTTCACTGGCCTGGGCAGTGTCCCCCCAGCCTTCCAGCTCCAGCTAGTGGCCTGCTGAGGTCAGGCTCCGCTGTAGTGGGCTCACTGGCCCTCAAACCTCCGCACCCTCCTTGGTCAATAAAGGCCCTAAACTGCAGATGGAGTCAGATGTGTGCAGCTCTGAGGTAAACTTTTATTTCTTGGCTGACAGGACTTCCACACCCATGCTCCTCCTGGCACCTTTTACTCTGCCCACGCAGTGGCAGCCCAGTCCCAAAGGTGCCTGCCATGGCCAAAGGGGTTGGGGAGTCACTTCACATTCCAGGCTGGAGGAGTGAGAAGGTTTGGGGGTACTCCTCCCACCCCATTGCCAGCAAGAGGCCGTGACTCACCTCAACCCCAAGTCCTGCATCCTGGTGGGAAGTGACAATGCCTCCTCCCAGCTCTCCACACCTAATGGGGTCATGACCAGACAGGGTAGGACCCAGGCCCCAGCTTCAGTTCGTAACGGTTGCCTCCAAGGCTGCCCCCTGTCCAGGTCACAACCCCAGCCCCCATCATGGGGCAGCAAAGGTCTCTTCTCCTTCTTGGTCCTCAGCAACAGACAGAGCCCTCCACGCCAGGCAGGACAGAGGCAAAGTCAGAAGCAGCAGCGGTGGCAGGGAAGGAGCAGCCAATACAGGCCCAGGGCTCTCCTGAAGTCAGGGCAAGCTGTCTGCCATGCGGCTCTGGGACTGGCCACTAGGTGGGCGTAGGCGGCTGTGATACAGGTACTTGGACACCTTTCTGTCCTGATGCTGGGGGTGAGAGGGGACAGGAGACAGTGAGTCATCAGGAGAGGGACAAAAAAGCCAAGGGAAACCTGGGGAAATGGGGAGAGGACCAGGAAGAAATGGGGCTCCTGTTGGGGTACCAGAAGAGTGGACTGTCTAAGGAAGGTGGGCAGAGATGAAGAAAAATGAGTGGTGAGATTTAACAAGAGGCTGATGAGGGGGATGGGGTGGCATGAGGCCCAACAGGGCCCACGGAATAGGAAGGACTGGAGGGAGGGAAGCAGGTACCTAGCTGATACTTGTCTTTGGCTGCTGCCCGCTCCTTGGCATCAAAATACCAGACAGTGATGGCGTACCTGGGGACCAGGATGGTTGGACATCAGTTTTCTGCAATTCCAGCTACCATATCCACACATGCTAGGAGGCCATCCTTTTCAGCCACCCGGTTCTGCTCCCACCTAGGCCCCCTCTCAGTACTTGGTCGCTCCCCAGTCACTCTGAGGCTCTGACAGGACACTGTCACAGAGGGAGCACCTGGGTGCATCCCCAGAAGTACAGGTCATACCTGGTGGCATAGGCTGGCTTCACCTCGTGGGGGTTCCGCCGGTCAGACCAGAAAATGAGCAACCGGTCAAAGAGTGGTTCGATGTTGGCTACCACCGGCCGGCCCTCAGGGAAGATCTGCAGCAGGCCACCATGCACCTGGGGGCAGGCCAGAGGATGAGGTTGGCCTTTCCAGCCAGGAGCTGCTGCCTCCCACGGCACCCGGGAGCCCACTAGGGGGCGCAGCGTCCGCCCGCATCACTCCCTCCCACCCCTCGGGCTCTCAAAATGAATGACAACCCAGAGTCTGCATCACCATGGAGATGGGCAGGAAGCTACTAAAGACAGGAAAAGGGGGAAAGTGTTCATTACAAGGCCGGGTGGGGCTGGGCAGACAGCACCATTCCCGGAAAGAGGGGAGTTCCCATCACACAGCCAGATAGAGAGGAGGTGGTGCCATTTCCCAGGAAGAGCCAGCAGATTGCACCCCTGGCTGTGTGCTGAGAAGAGGAACAGGAGAATGCCAGAATCTGGGCTGAGAGTGGAAAATGGAGTGGATGCACGCCCCATCTACCCCGGCTCCAGCCCCACCTGCCCCGGCCCCAGCCCTAGCCCTGACCCCAGCCCTAGCCTTGACCCCAGCCCCACCCTCACCCTCACCCCTACCTTAACGTCCCAGTTCTGATTCAGGTAATAGATACAGGTGATGCAGCGCCCATCGCCGTGGGGATTGTCAACGTGCCTTACGTACCCGAGCCCGTTGCCTGGGTAGCACGCCACCATGGCCTGGCAGGAATGGAGGGAGGTAGGTTTACTGGGGCTAGGCAGGCACATCTTAGAGAAGCAGCCATGAATTACCTATTTTCCCACCCCTTCTTGCCCTGTATTCCTTGGGTCAAGGGTTCCAAGTGCCTGCCCCAAAAGAATTTCTCCATTTTCAGCCAAAATCCCATCTCCAAGTCCATCAGAAACCTCAGCTCCTGGGCCTCAAGAGCCCACTCCCTCCCACACACATACCTGGGGCCTGGCACCCAGCTAGGGCTCAATTAGTAACAGACGGTTTGATTTGTTTCAAGATATCCCAAACCCTACCTCAGCTATTTCAGAATAATATCAATTTAAACATTTTCAGGTGTGCAAGGAGGTGGCCTCACAGCCCTAGACCAGGAATTCTTACCCTTGGCTGTGGAGTGGAACCGCCTGGAGAGCTCTGAGGCTCTGATGTACCTGGTCTAAGGAAGGGTCTGAAATTGGTAAAGGTTCCCAGGTAATTCTACCATGCAGCAATGTGAGAACTGCTACTCTGGATTACAAAGAATCCCCACTAAATTATCTGTCCCATAGACATCCGAACAGGAGCCAAAACCTACAGTCTGAATAGAAAGTGAGACCTAATTCCAACACCAAGGATAATCTGCTGGATAACCCTAGCCAGATCCATCACCTGAATGGGCCTCAACTGCCTGATGTGTACAACAGGGGTAATAAACACCTGCTCTGTTTACAGCAGTAGCAATTAACCCCTCTGAGAACATAACTTGGGAGGTTCTGGACCCGCATCCCCCAGAGACCTAACAGGCCTTGGTTTCTCTGTCTACAGGGTTCTTTCCTCTGCCTGACAGTTGCCACTCCCCTGACCCAGCCCTACCATGCTGCAGCCAGGGCCCCGGGATGTTTGTCATCAGGGAGCTGGCAGAAAGGTGGCTGAGAGGTAAAGGAAATGGCCCAGCCACCTCTGCAGACCCAATTCCCTGGTTCAAGTCTCAGTGCTGCCACAGGAGCTGTGGCATCAGGCAGGTGACTTCCTGGTCTCAGGTTCCTCATCCATGGATCCAATGGAGCTGACGGCTATTTCACAGGTTGTTGTGGAACAAGTGAACAAGATAACAAGTGTCTGGGAAGACAGCCAGCACAGTGCCTGCCACATGGAGCACAGGCTGAAATGCCATTTAAAAATTTAAAAAGGTCCCTGTCTCACCCTCTGCCCAAAGTCACTGCAGTAGCAGACAAAAAGGGGAGGACTGGCACAAAGACCCTTCAGCTTCTCCCCAGCCTGGACCATCTGTCTGGACCTCTCCGCCCTGGTACAACTCTGCTGGCGTCTGCTCCCCACGAATGCTCAGCTACACCTATGGGCCCAGCCCAGCAAGACAGCCCCAAGATAAACATTCATGATCAAACATCAGTGGCTGCTGCCACAACAGGATGCTTGCCAAGCACGCACGCCACAGCAGGCTGGGCTGCTTCAATCCTCACTCTCCCCAGGACGCCTCCCAACACATTATCCCAGGGCTCACCCTCTGTGGTAGATGTTAAGCTGCTCTGCATTAACCATGTGCACCCTCGCCCACCAGACCTTGCCCTGGAAAGAGAGGGCTGCCACCCTCTACGGCCACCTAGCAGTGGGAAGCTGACAACCCTCTCTCTGGCAGCACCAGAGTACGATGAGTGAGAGGCCCCCGGGAAAAACCCTACACCTCAAGATTCAGGAAGGGGCACCTTCTTTGCACTGCTCACTCCCTGTAGATGGGTCGACACTCCGACAACCACCTCACTGGGAGAAGAATTTGGCCATGGCCCAGGAGGCTTGGAATCAGTGACTTACTGACTAGAGATGGGCAAGGCCTCCCCAGTTAGGAATCCAATCAGAGATTACACTGATGATGCACGTGGATGGGTGACAGGGAAGGGGTCCAGTGCTGCACCCTCTTCCACCACAATCCTTCCCCACACAGCAGCCAGAGCCCCTCTTCTCCAGGTCTTCGCTGCATCCCAAGAAAATACAAATTCCCAGCCACAGCCTCAAAGGCCCCAACCTCATGTGCCACTCCCATCACTCCGCTCCATGCCTCAACAGGCTGAGCTCATCACCACCACAAGGCCTCTGCCCTGGCCTGGGACACTCTCCCTTCTGACCCTCCTTGTTCTTCAGGATTCAGAGGCCAAGGGTCACCTTGAGTACTCCAGCTGATTGTCCATTCCACTCCTAGCAACATGGCATCAGCACAGGCACCTGTTTACCTAGTACTGGCCTGGAAGGCAGCCACAGCGAAGCCCCTGGGGCCACGTCAGTCTCCCCAGTGCCCAATGCAGTACCTGCTGACTGAGCACACTGCTCTGGGCCTCCTCTGCACCCCAGCCCTGCTGTGTTCCCTCCTGTCCTGTACATTCTCACACAGCACCTCCCACCAAGCACACAGGACACATGCAGAAACAGGAACCTGCTCTTTAGGGCCCCACCCTTCCCCCACATATACAACCTTGGGGGTGAAAGCATCCTCTGGCCCCAAGGAAAGTATCTACTTCCTGCCCTCACAGGGGAAGGCCTCAGGAAACTTGCTCTCAACCCCTCCCACCTAGGGGAGGGGCAGGTGGGACCAGGGCCAGGAGACTAAAGACTTAAAGGCTATTGGTGACAATGGGCCTGCCAAGAGACCCACACCACTACACACACCCCCC